CACCACCACCACAACTCCACTTCGCTACTGCACACACACCCATAGCACTCGTCTCGACGTTGCCGTGAAAGCGTCGCACGACAGCGTTACAACAACAAAGATCCACCACCCCAACAGGTGCTCCAAGCGGTGGTCTTGAAGGAGAAAATTTCAAATCGAGCTACTTTCTACCTCGATCGTCGCCGTAAGTTCGGCGGTGGATTGTTGATGTGGGTGGTGGTCTTCGACGTTGGGCGGTGGTCGACGGTGGGCGTAGGTCGATGATGGGTAGAAGAGAGATGGAAAGGGAGGGGAGAGGAGGCACGAGAGAGAGAGAGAGAGAGAGAGAGAGAGAGAGAGAGAGAGAGAGAGGTGAGGGAGTTAAGAGTTTTAATATATTACCTGATTTTTGAATAATGAAACTTGGTCCCTGATTTTTGAATTCAAATCTTCAGACACTTGAATTATTATGTAATTTCTCGTCCATTTTGTAATTAATGGGCCTAATTTGTTTATCTTTTTCTAAAAAAGTTCAACTAAACAAAAGGCCCACAATAAGAAAAAAATTGGCCCAAAACGCTCATCTTCCCTGCTCTTCACTTCACGGTTGGCGGTGCCCTCTGCACGTCCAACCTGTAAATTACGACGGAGCCAGCACTTGCAACTGTGCCACCTCGTTGGGTGCTTACTCCACCACTTATTGTCAAGAATGAATTGAATAATAATTATGGACATTTCATTATCGTAGTTTCATAAAACGAGGCAACAAAAGATATTAGAACAACTATTGTACAAATTGAAAATGCGGTTTCCTCTTTTGCATGTTCTTTGAAATAGTAACTGTCGATTTCTTACAAAGCATAAAGTATCCAAACAAATCATAAGTTAATAGCTCATTTTTCACAACTTCTGTTTTCTATATACTATTTTCACAACTAATATGGTAAATATGCTTGTTATTTCGGAATTCAATTTTGTTAACCTCAAAATTCTCTAATTTTATCTCGGCTACTCTTTCCGACAAGAGATATCGAGTATATATAGGTACATGCCAATAAAATAATCCTTAATGCGTCCATTTACACTGATTAATATTTTATTATTGTTTCATTTTCTGTTCATCTTCGATTAGAAGATAAATAGGAAGATGTCATTAGAGTTTATTACATCATCATAAATCAGATAGATTTCTTTTTGTAAACGTCTTTTTATCATATTAATTACTACAATGATGAACAAACACGTAGTTTCATTTTGAGGCGAACGTCCATAAATCTTGTTTATTCTTTGATTTCATTATTACGATTTCATTACTCTTAGTGATATAGAAATAAGGTTTCTAATTTTGCAACAACTTTTACATGTTATTATTGTTCATTTCAATCTTGTATGTGGATCGACTCATTGTCATGTATTAACATATCTTCTACTTTAGACAAGGTACCTACTACCTAGTACGATTGTTCAACTTGTGAGAAGGCTGGTTATAAATCACTTCATAAGATACATGGAAATAATTATAGATGAAATGAATAAAAATTATTCCCCCGTGCATGTTTTGTTTTTTTTCTCCTTTAATATGAATTAATTACTAAGAAAAAGTAATTGTAGAAAATAAGTTGAAGCCCACTCCTAAAAAATTTTTATTCCTTCCTGAAATAATGATGTTGATGCGCACACAAATACCATTCTTCCACCGGTATCAAAAGATAATGATGGAATATACTCTTGATATTAGTTTAAAAATTAAAATGAAAAATGAAAAAATCAGAAACGTTGAAACTGGTCAGATGTTACAGGGACACGTGTCACCATCATGCCATTTTTTTAGGTTGCATGTGTTTTTGGCATGCTAAGGGCTCGCACATCCATGCATGGAGCTTTGTGAATTGGCTTTTTTCATAATTTTCTCCCCCATAACTTTTCTATACTGGTCAGAATTGAACGTACATTGCACGTTATTATGAAATACTTTATAAATGTTATACAAATAATATTTGATACCAATTTATTGTGAGGATTTGATCAATTTCAAACGAATTAAAAAAAATAAAATTTAAGATAAGAAAATTGGACTCTCAAAACTCAACTTCTATGATTCAAATTTTTTGTGATGATACAATACTACAAATAAGCAATCTTTTTATACTACATTTGATACATAAGAATTAATTACTAATACATAAATTTAAACTCACATTAAAATTTCTAGATACACGAACATAAATAAATTCATTTATAATAACCTTAGATTCATGTAGATTACGATTCATTAAATCAAGATTTATTGAGTTTAGATTAATATTAATTAATTAAGAATTAATAACACAAAATTCATGTATGATAAAGATTTTGTAGTATTTATTACATATTGAAAAACGTAAAATAAGGTATTATTGAAATAATTGAATTGTAATAGAGTTAAAATTATCCAAAAAATAATTCTCACATTATGTAATATTTAATATATTATAGATAGTAATGTCTCTTTGTAATATACACTCACCATACAAGGGAATCTTGATTATACACTATTAAATAGGAAGGAAAAGGGTATTTATTTCCATCAAGATTTTTTTTCTATGGTTAAATAAGAATTGCACCAATCTACGACAATATAAGTTGAATAAGTCTTAATGTACGCTCTTGTGTACATTAAGACTTACACTCCTCTCACAATGGAGTGTGGGGTAAACGATTTTTTTAAATTGCGGGCCCCCACCATTGTGAGAAGAGTGTAATGCATGATGTACACCCAATTGTGTACATCAAGCATCTCTCATATAAATTTTCTCGTAACTTTGGAATCCTAGTAAAAATTGAATTATATCTTAGTACGCATCTTTTAGAGATGGTTATATTGTTGGTTCCTATGCCGCCGCGTTTTCTAATCATTTTCTCGTAATGTTTCGACTCGAAGCAATAGCTTCTAGCTAGTTCGGTGGATAAGATAATTGTACTTCAACTCACTCTAGAATTGGACGGTGTGTCTTGGGTTGATCATTCTCAATAAAGAATGTTCATCGCATAATTATTTATCTTCAATGGTTTTTCAAGGTATCCTTTCGGAACAATAGATTGATCTATTGCTTTGTTTAATGTCTGAATATGAAGAAAATTGTAACAATGGGGCTCGACTTGAAATTGGCATCGACTTTGGGCCATGGCAGACAATGTGATGGAACCGTCCACCTTACAAGTTTATTGGTTTTTTGGACCAAAAAACAATGAACCAAACTTTAGAAAAAGCAAAAGAAAGGATAAAACAGAAAAGAAAAAGGTCTTAATTAATGGCTTGTTTTCCTTGCTTTTAAGTTTGACCACAGCATCAAGCCTGTAATTCCGATTCGTCTAAACTAACAGTCTAAGGTGAAAAGATCCTGTCTGTATTTTTATTACGTCTCTCTCTGTTTCTCTTTCCTCAATTTGTAAGTTTTTGTTGCCACATATATCAATTCAAGAACAAAGAAACTGGGCATTCAATGAGGAAGTTTTCTTTCTACACAGTGTTCTTTTCACTGCCAAAGCTTAAGCCCTGAGATTTAGGCCTCTGGATTCCGCAAATTTTAGGTGATTTTCACTCTCCCCTTCTTTTAACTTCTTTTTCGCTCTGGGTTCTGGTTTTTCGGTTCCAATATTCCATTTATGCATTTGGGTTTTCCTTGGATCTTGCAGTGCATGTTTTAAAATGAACTAGATTTCAGATTTTTTCTTTCTTTCTTTCTTCTTCAACACTGTTCCATGTTGTGTAATAGACAGTACCAAGCATGCCATTACATTTTGTTTTTTTGGATCAAGATCCAATTTTTATATAATTTTTTCATGAATTTTCCTCTGGCGAATTGTTTTTTTGAATTTGAAATCATAAAAATTGCTGCGTGTTCTCAAGACCTAACCAGATTCAGTTCTTTACTTTCTGGTGGTCCTCTAGTACTGCGTTTTTTTCCTTTTCCAGTTCTTGGGAAGTGATTTTGATTTTTTTAATTATTAAAGTCTCTTTTTTAGAAAAAAGTATCTGTATGGAATTGTGTGATTGACTATATGCTCTACTTTATGCATCCGTCCCTTTTCTTGCTCAGTTGCTCGCATTGTTGATATTTTCTATCCCCATTTACTATTGAAATTTGAAAAAAATTGAGGATGCAGCCTTTCTAGAGTACATAGGTTTCAATTTGTACTTGTAATTGAGATTTTGGGTACTTGTTTGCTTTGTTTCTTGAGTTTCGACTTGGATTAGCTTGCTAGGATTTGAGGGTTTAGAATTCTGATCTGATATTTTCCACTACTTCATTCCCTAATTTAGAGTGGGATCTAGAATTTTGAGTAATGAGTAATAGAAACTTGAACCCCAACATATTGTAATGTGTGGGTTTTTTTTTTTTCGGATTCTTCCATTTAATTCATTAATCCACATCGTACATTTATGACGGCGACAGCCTAGTTGTAGCTATATGGTGGTATTTGGTACACTGTGTTTGACTCGTGGCAAAACTTCATATGGGTTCGTTTACGACCATTACAAATTATTCTTTTTATAGATGAAATTATTTCGTGGATTGGACTTGACTATATTGATTAATGAGTAGTCTTATGGAGTTATGCGGAAACAGTGTTTACTTAATGGTGGCTGTTTCATTTGACAGGTCTGTAATTTTATATAGTAAGGGAGAATGGACATTTGGAAGTTCGTTGAAGTTATTATGTGATATTGGTGTCCTGCAGAATACCATTAGTTGGATATAGTTTAACCATACTCGCGTTGTTTCCCACATGGCCTCAAAAAATGTCACTAGACCTTTTCCCGAACGGCAAAAAGAAGCTCTTGGTTCTAAGCAAGCAATATTAGCAAAAAATCATAGAAATATTCCTTCTGAGGTCTCAAATACAAGCAAGCCCGAGCTGGCTAATCCCGAACATTCAGCAGAACCCATTAAGGTGACAGGGCGGCCAGTGCCTGTCGGAGCTGTAAACCCTGCAAGATCTCCAAATAATTATAAAGGATTTGGTGATTCAGATAGTCCTGTTAATCAAGAAAACAGAATGTCGGAGCAAGAGAGTGTAAAGGGCATTTCATTTTCCGTAAAGATTAGTGATGGATCCAGCAGTCTTGCAAATACGGGCGGAAGTGCAAAAATTAGTGATCCCGGGACCTTTTTCGAGAGTGGAAAGAGTAGTATGTGTCGAGGAAGCACGAGTACTGATGTTAGTGATGAAAGCAGTTTTAGCAGTTTCAGTAGCAGTATCAACAAACCCCATAAGGCAAATGATTTACGATGGGAAGCCATCCAAGCGATCCGGGCCCGGGATGGTGCCTTGGGTTTGAGTCATTTCAGATTGCTGAAGAGATTAGGTTGTGGAGATATTGGGAGTGTTTACTTGGCCGAATTGAGTGGAACAAATTGTTATTTTGCAATGAAAGTTATGGATAAGGCATCTCTAGCAAGTCGTAAGAAGCTTCTTCGTGCTCAGACGGAACGAGAGATACTACAGTCCCTGGATCATCCATTCCTTCCAACTCTGTATGCGCACTTTGAGACTGATAAGTTTTCGTGTCTGGTGATGGAATTCTGCCCCGGAGGAGACCTTCACTCTCTTAGACAGAGACAACCCGGAAAATACTTTTCTGAACAAGTAGTGAAGTATGATATCTTCAACTCTACTTGGATATTGAACTAAAATTTGTAGTTTTCAACCATAATTTGCTCTCTTTTTTTGCATAGTCGACGTTCATTGATTAGCTGATAGTAACATCGAGTAACTTTTTTGCAAATCATTCTGGTGCCTGATATTTTGAGCTCGCCTTCTTGCTGTAGACAGCTCGCAAATAGTCTCGTCCCTAATTATCTTGTTGATCATATTAATACCTACAAATTTAGTGACATTCGTCTGTCATAACTATTCCATCTTCATACAGGCGTCGATAGCAAAGTACCCAGAATTTTATTTTTTTGTAATGCATCAATGTCATTATTAAAGATTTTGGTCGTTTTACTTTTGAATGTTATTCATATTACTGTATGATGTTTACCTTCTAAGATAATCGGGTGTCATCATCAATTATCCTGTCTTGTGTAATTACAAACTCTTCTTGTTAGATGCATCCTCTTTATTTGTATTCTATTTATACGTCTTGCGAAGTCATGACTTTGGTAGTAAGTGATGTACTTATCTAGGTTATTTTCAGCTGTGAACATGAATAACATCATTAGTGCGGGTTTTTGTGTATGTTTGAATTGGCTTGAGTTAAAATTTGAAATGATTGCAATTTTAACTGTGATTACCTCAGCTTTGATTTTTAGCGGGCATGACTTAAGCAGACACGATAAACCTTGCGCTAAATGTTTATTGTTCTTGGAAGTTATCTTCTTATTGATTAGTAATATGTTCATTATCTGCATCACTAAAATACTCCCCATACAAAGTATGATGCTTAATAGCATCAGGTGATCAAAATTATCATAGATCCACGAGTAACTAACAGTTGTGATTCCATTGTCCCTTGTGACAGATTTTATGTTGCAGAAGTCCTGCTTGCTATGGAATATTTACACATGTTTGGTATCGTCTATCGTGACCTTAAGCCAGAGAATATCCTGGTGAGGGACGATGGGCACATAATGCTCTCAGACTTTGATCTTTCACTTCGCTGTGCTGTCAGTCCCACACTGGTCAAGACCTCGTCCTTGGAGTCGGAACCTGTGCAAAAAAGTTCTGGATATTGCATCCGGCCAGCGTGCATTGAACCTGCCTGCATTCAGCCATCATGTGTTGTTCCAACAACGTGCTTCTCTCCTCGTCTCTTTTCGAGCAAATCTAAAAAGGATAGGAAGCCAAAACACGAAATTGGAAACCAAGTTACACCGTTGCCTGAGCTGGTTGCTGAACCAACCAATGCTCGGTCGATGTCTTTTGTAGGAACTCACGAGTATCTGGCTCCCGAGATTATCAAAAATGAAGGTCATGGAAGTGCAGTAGACTGGTGGACATTTGGGATCTTTCTATATGAACTTTTGTTTGGTAAAACTCCATTTAAAGGTTCTAATAATCGTGCCACATTATTCAACGTTGTTGGACAGCCTCTTCGATTCCCAGAATCACCCATTGTCAGTTTCGCTGCTCGGGATCTAATTAGGGGTTTGCTTGTGAAAGAACCACATAATAGGTTGGCTTATAAAAGAGGTGCAACCGAGATTAAGCAACACCCTTTCTTCGAAGGAGTGAATTGGGCATTGATACGGTGTGCCACTCCTCCTGAGATCCCAAAGCCTGTAGAATTCGAGAAATTAACTGTTCCAGCAGTATCAGTCAATGAAAAGGCTACTGTCGCTGCAAATATCCCAGATCAAAAAGCCTATAAATATCTCGAGTTCGACTTTTTCTAGGTAATATGAGTATTTTCAGAATTTGTTTCAAGTTCGTGGAGACAACTTTTCTGGACAATCAAGGATGTTGATGATTATTTCGGTTGGATTCCTGTTAAATGGTAGATTGTGAAAAGTTGTATATTTCTTGTTGCTGTCTGTAACAGTTCATGACCTTAGAATTGTACCATGTATAATTTTGATAATTTCTAGGAAAGTGTTCTTAATTTCGAAACATAGTAGGACCAAATTTAGATGAGCCCTCAAATTTGTAGCCTTTGTGTTTGTATGCTTGTATGTCAGCTGACATTTGATTTGAACCAGAAATCGCAACATTATCCATTATTGTTTTGTATTCCTTTTTGTTGGCAGAAGTTGTACTCTTACAATAATAATTACTTTAGTTTATAACTATTACACTAATTGTAATTTGGATATAAAAGTTAAACGTTAAATCCTGCTTGACATGTCATCAAATAAATAACGTTATTTATTACGTCAATTCAACAAAATTGGGAGTTAGAAATTGGGGACTGTGTTTCAGTTTAGGTAGGTTTTCAGGCTTAAATCATATGGTACAATGGTGAACTCATTTTTTAAGTTCAATAATGATTGATGCTGTCTTAGCTGCAAAATGGTAAATTTAAAAAGTCAATTCAACAAAATTGGGAGTAGAAATTGGGGATTGAGTTTCAGTCTAGGGAAAATTGCCTTCGCGGTCCCAAATCATTTCTTTTTTTGCTGACTTTACATCAACCTTTACTTTGTGCCACCACAGATTCCAAACCTTTGAGAAATTAGCACCGGAGGTCCATTTAGACAGAAACCACCATTAGTCAACCTAAAAAATTAAAAAAATGAGATATTTTGATCATTTTAAAGAGGAGCATTTCCGTCCATACAGTAATTTTCCTTTAAAAATAATAAATAAAAGAAAAAAATCGTCATCTTCTTCAAACACTCCACCCCCACCCACTAACAAACCCATTTTGTCAATTTATCTTCAGCCTTTTTTGTTTCCTGAATCATTCAGTTATTCACGCATTTAACAAAGGCTATTCCTAAGTGATTCAGGAGACAAAAAAGGCTGAAAATAAATGGACAAAATGCGTTTGTCAGTGGGTGGGGGTGGGGTGTTTGAAGAAGATGGCGATTTTATTTATTGATTTATTATTTTAAAAGGGAAATTACTGTATGACGGAAATGCTCCTCCTTAAAATGGTCAAAATATATTATTTTTTAAATTTTTCAAGTTGACTAACGGTGATTTGGACGATTTCTGTCCAAATGGACCTCCGCCCTCCGGTGCGAATTTCTCAAAGGTTTGGGACCTGTGGTAGCACAAAGTGAAAGTTGAGATAAAGTCTACAAAAAAAAGAAATGATTTGGGATCGTGACTGCAATTTAAAAAGTCAACTCAACAAAATTGGGAGTTAGAAATTGGGGATTGTGTTTTAGTTTAGGTAGGTTTCAGGCTTAAGAGCCTGTTTGGGAGCAACTAATTCCCCATTTTAATGGAAAATGTGAACGTTGCAAGTAGTGAACAGTTGGGGGAGCCGTAATATTTGAAAAATTCAATGGCAACCGACTTTTTGAAGTTTGAAATGTCAAAATTGTCCAATTTATGAATTGTAACCAATTAGGAACATTATGGTCTTCTCACCGACTTTTTTTATTCACTGCAGATAACAAAGTCAGACAAGGCTGCCAAAGTGGGGGCCCAGCACATTGTAAGACAATCGATTTATTTATTATAATTTTCTCATAATGCGTCCAAACAGGGGCTAAATCATATGGTACAATGGTAAACTCATTTTTTTAGTTTTAGTTTAATAATATAAATGATGCTATCTTAGCTGCAAAATGGCAAATTTAAAAAGAAAATGCGGTGAGCGTGGATCGAACACGCGACCTTCAGATCTTCAGTCTGACGCTCTCCCAACTGAGCTATCCCCGCTATTTGCTCAGAATATAAATTTAATTATATTTGACTTAAAACAAGGCACAAGCAAACAAGGATGTTATTGACCTTGAAAAGATTTAACCGTCTGATGAGTGACACGTGGAGAGGAAAGAAGGCACTCAAGCTGATGCTCAGACATTTCTTCTCCTTTCACATATGAGATCTTAACCTCACAAAATTTTGGTGCGTCCTACGGTTTCTGAATCCACTACGATGGGAAAGGATGATTATCTTCCTCTCTTTGAAACCAAAGTAGCAAAGGGACGATTACTCCACAGGTTATATGCAGTTACTATGTTTCTTGGCATACTTTTCATATGTGTTTACAGAGTCAACCATTTTCCAGCACAAGGAGAACTGAAAAGATGGGCTTGGATTGGTTCGTACATGGCCGAGTTATGGTATATTTTGTATTGGCTGATCACTCAGTCAGTTCGATGGAGCCCCGTATATCGTTCCACCTTCAAAGAAAGGCTCTCTCGGAGGTAATACAATAATGCTAGACAAAACTTGACAGCTTTTTCTTCCATAATATTGTTTTATAGTCATATCCAGTACTGAGTCGAGCATAGCAAACACACTAATACTGGTTTTCTGTGCTGAATATTGATGCTATAATCTAGCAGATATGAAAAGGTTTTGCCAGGAATAGACATATTTGTGTGCACGGCTGATCCGGTGCTAGAGCCACCAGTGATGGTGATAAACACCGTGCTGTCAGTAATGGCCTACGATTACCCACCGGAGAAGCTGAATGTTTACCTTTCAGATGATGGGGGTTCAGAATTGATGTTTTATGCTCTATTGGAGGCTTCCCAGTTCTCCAAGATCTGGCTACCGTTTTGTCGGAAATTTAAAGTGGAACCACGCTCACCTGTCGTTTACTTCTCTTCAGCCGTTGAAACACCAGTGGACAATGTTATCTTTGCCAAAGAGTGGAGGACCATTAAGGTATTTGTCACTATGTTCGATTCATCTTACGTCTAATTGCATAATAAGCAGCATTGAACATGATTACTTGTGCTTCTTGTAGAAGAGAACCATGAGGAAGTTACAGTAAGGGTGTGTTCGGTTCGGATTAAAATCCAATTAAAATTGAAAATATAGTCGCTAAACAATAGTGGCTATATTTTCAATTTTAATTGGATTTTAATCCGAATCGAACACGCCCTAAGTCAATTTTTATAGAAAATAATACAACATGTTCAGTCCAATGTAATATTAATATAAAAAGGAATTATAAGTTTAAAAATCTTGCATTGTTCAGATTATTACACGCGCTAATGGAGTTGATGATTTATGACAAATCATAGTGGAAATATTATCACGTTATTTTGTTTGTATTATCAAATATTAAATTCCCTATTGGTAGATGTAATTATCAAGTATTATTAATCTATTCATTTCATATGTCAACATTGTTGATTGTTGATTGTCTCATTTTCAATTTAGTACGTTCAAACAACTGAAATTGAGTTACCTAGGCGGCCCCACCCCACCCTACCCTGCCCTGCCCTACCCTTTCCCACCTCGAAAAATAAAATAAAATCTCATGAACATTAAAGACAAGATTTAAATGAATATACATTTAAAGTTTGCTAAAAGCTTCAACTAATATTCTGATTAATTCTATCGCCAAGTCACATTAACAAGATCGCTATACTTTTTCATTTTTTTTTTCCTTTTCTGGCTGGACAGAACTTATTTGAAGAAATGAAGGGACGGGTCGATGTCGCAATGAAGCTAGGTCGAGTACCTGACGAGCTAAGGAAACAACACAAGGGGTTTCGAGAGTGGGAGTTGGGTGCAAGCAGACGTGATCATCAGACTATTCTTGAAGTAAGTTCACTGTCTTGTTCTTTAGATGCCAAAGGAAACAATTTCTACAAGCAAAACGTACTCCTCCTGAGTAACAACTAATCGATATGAAATAAATAAATGTAACAGTGTAAGCATACCTTTGAATAAGCAAAACTTTCTTTCTGTAATCTCATAGATACTAATTGACGGGAGAGACGGCAATGCAGTGGATGTCGAGCAAAAACCTTTGCCAACTTTAGTATACATGGCACGTGAGAAGAGACCTCAATACCAGCACAACTTTAAAGCAGGAGCGATGAATGCCTTGGTAAGCTTATGGGATTTGTAACATTCTTATGATGATATTAGTGTCAAAATTTTCATTTTATTGATCAATCAGATAAGGGTGTCATCAAGGATAAGCAACAGCAAAATTATTCTTAATGTGGACTGCGATCAATATTCGAACAATTCAGAATCAGTGAGAGATGCAGTATGCTTTTTCATGGATGAAGAGATGAGTCACAATATTGCATATGTACAATATCCACAATACTTAAATAACGTCACAAAGAATGATGTTTATGGAAATCTTTTAAGAGTAATCAATGAGGTAAGTATAATTAAACCCATGATTCAATAATTTCTCTCCCAGGTCGATTTTATTGATCATTGAGATTGTTCTGATATGTGGAACTTTCTGGTGATGAAGTTGGAGTTTCCAGGCGCAGATGCAAACGGAGGACCCTTGTATATTGGCAGTGGTTGTTTTCACAGAAGAGATGCTCTTTGGGGGGAGAAATATGACAAAGAATCCAAAATTGATTGGACGAAGGAGAATGGGAAAGTACGGGTGAAAGAAAGTGCGAATGTGCTTGAAGAAACGTGCAAAATCCTTGCAGGGTGTAGCTATGAAGAAAATTCCCAATGGGGCAAAGAGGTATATTCTTCACATTCCTCTCAAACATATGCACAAGTACTGATATTAAGCTAATGAATGTTGATTTTCAGATGGGACTAAAGTATGGATGTCCTGTAGAAGATATCATTACAGGAATGTCAATACAATGTAGGGGTTGGAGATCCGTTAGCTTCAATCCTGAGAGACGGGGCTTCATGGGAGTAGCTCCTACATCGCTCTTGCAATCACTAGTTCAGCATACAAGATGGTACGAAGGTCATATTCAGATCTTTATGTCAAAATACTGCCCTTTATTCTATGGCCATGGTAACATCCCTCTACAATTACAAATTTCATACTGCTGCTACAATCTATGGGCAGCAAACTGTTTGGCTACACTATTCTACGTTATCGTCCCGCCTCTCTGTCTTCTCAAAGACATCACACTGTTTCCACAGGTATGTGTCCTAGATTTCAGCATTTTTAAGACGACAAACGTCCCATAATCTCCTGAGAATCAATTATCTTCTATCAACAGTTATCTAGTCCTTGGGTTCTACCATATGCATATGTCTTCATAGCAAAATACTCTTACAGCCTAGGAGAGTTTCTTTGGTCGGGAGGAACGTTAAAAGGATGGTACAATGACCAAAGGATGTGGCTGTATAAGAGACTTACTTCTTATCTATACGGAATCTATGGAACAGTCCTCAGATCCTTGGGTTTTTCAAAGTTAAGTTTTGATATCACTTCAAAGGTTGCTGATGATGATGTTTCATTGAGATATGAACAAGAAATTATGGAATTTGGTACTGTTTCATTCATGTTCAACATCTTAGCAACAATTGCACTTTTAAACCTGTTGGCCTTCATATGGATTATGGCAAGACTGATCATTAACACCCGAACTAAAGAGGCAGATTCTTATGCTTTGCAGATGATTTTGAGTGGGTTAGTGATTGTTATTAATCGTCCAGTGTACGTAGGACTGTTTTTCAGGACGGACAGGGGTCGTATGCCATCTTCCATCACTTACCAGTCACTTATTTTAGCTACATTGGCCTGTTTATTAGCTTTGTAATAATATTAAAATCTGTATTTGATAATCCCCTTACTACCTTCAAGATACTCTTTTGTTCTGATGCTTTGTGCTTTATAAAAAAATTCTCAGAATTATGAGCTATTCACTTTAGATGTCTGCATTTCAAGATATTTTAAACACATAGCATGGGTACCATATAGCAAACCTCAAGCTATATAGAAGATGGTTCTTGAATGTTAATATTTACGACATAATTCGCCGACGCCAAAAGGGAAAATGTAATTTAAAACACTAGAAACAATGGTTTAATAGCTTACATTAGTCAACAACGTATTGACTCAGATAACAACAGTTTCACCCCTAACCCCCTAGGGGAATAGGAGCAGTTGATGTACAGCCCTCATACATGATTGACAGAGATTATTTTGTCAGGTGACTCAAGAATGTGTCAATATTAACGAACTTGAAAACACGCCCCCAGTACATGTCCCTTACGGGGTTGTGGAACATTCAGATTGTTATGAATATGTTTTATAGCCACATTAATGGGACGTTAATTAGTCGGCCTCATAACTATTGAGTTAATGAATTAGATAAGTTGACTATCATATAAGGTAATCAAACTCAACGACGAGCCACAAGAGTGGTACAACTCCCCCACGTGTCTGCATCTAAGCCAGCTCACACCTCAAATATCCCATTGGGCTGTTTGAGGTGCACTGTGACCTTGACGGGTGTCTAATGTACAGGTCATTGGTCATTGAATATGAATAAACACATGTGATCGGCCAATGTGTCATGACTAAACATGAATAGATAAAATTCGTCGGAAGAAGGTCCTTAGCGGATAGGTGCAGTTCCGGTGTCAGGTCGTGTCTTCTCTGGACAAGTGTCCCCATGGCTTGGATTAATTTGTGCCAAAAGATTAGAACTGAGAAGCCTGTAAGTAGACCTCCCCAGGTCAGTCCAATCCTTCAAACGCAATCCATAAAGAAATACTCTTTTGTCTTTCTTTTGCTCCTCAAAATTATTATGTTGTCCTATTTATCTTCAACAAGCATTCTGTTATTCGAGTTTCAATCTGATCGAGATGAATACAATCACATTTGGTTCTTTGCAATTTCTCTTTAATCTATTATCTCCTTAATTTGTTGTTGCTGAGTTTTATGTTTTGTTTATTTCCAACAAAGAAAAGCACATGGGTGTCCTTGTAGAAAGAGAACCTACGTATAACATGATTCATTTTGCATATACATTATCTATTTTGAAAAATATAAAAGCAGGTAATTTTCCTAACTATAGCAAAATATATTGATCATAGTATTCTCGATACATATAGAGTCGATCACCACAATGAAGTAAGAAAATGAACGATAAAATTCAGAGAGATTGAGAGGGAGAGAAAACTCCCCAAAAAACTTAAGAATTGCTTCCAAACTGTTCCTATTAAACAATCAAGTTAGAACCCTCGAGAAAGACTCAAACTTTATGTTTTGCTTACCCGAAAGCCTCGTAAACTAAACCCTAGTTCAATGCCAATTTCAACAATTCAGCCTGAAGCCATAGCACAATTTCCAATCATGGATGCGTAGAATTAAACTAATAGACAACTTCAGATTTGCTTCTACAAATAATTCGAACAGAATAGACTTAATTGGAAAGTGATTCTCACCTCTAACAATCTCGCGAGAGTGTCTTTAGAAGCAGGAGACTCTCTAGCTACGATCCGACTTCATTCAACTTCGGTTGTTCTTCAGCCATTCCAATTTCAATAAAGTAACTTGTAATTACAAATTCTTACAGAGAATTTGCTCCAATTCACATCAATTTGATGAACTTCAGATACACTAAAAGATTAATAACCATAAATTTGTGCTCGATTTGCTTCTTGACTATCTATTAAAGTGGAGAGTTTATTTCAGTGACGAGTCCTTCCATTTCATAGGTAAAGGTTTTTTTTTTTGAATAAAATCAATTTGCATGGTACGTCAAACAAAAATTTCTTCTAATTATTTTTATTTGTCGTGTAAAATTGGATCGGTACTTTTTGATTTTTTGATTTTGAAAATATTAATTAGCATTTTGAAATATGTCGGAGCGAAAAAATCAGAAAGGGACTTGAATACTTGGCAATTTTGAAATTGTCTCATCAGATCACCAGCACATCAGTTCACACAGGCTGCATCCAATTTCAGTTCATGTTCAACAACTTCTCCCTTCTCCAGCTCACCTGCTTCCAAATCCTTCATATATAACCAACAGCATGCCTTCTTCTATATTCTTCTCTCATTTGTTATGTAGTTAGATTGTTAATTTTTCTCTATAAATAGACCAGTATGCATTGTAATTTCTCAAGTTGAATGAATGAAATATTCTTCTTTTTCCCTGCCATTTACAGCAGGTACTATCCCTTTTATTTTCTTATTAATATGAGCGGGAAAACGAGAATAACGACAAAAATCATTACAAATGTGCCAGCAAATTCTACCGATAACATGGTCATCTTCATGACATTCTTTGTTGAATACTCGTCAAATTTTAGTTTCTCAATATTAACAACATTGAAAAAAAAATTCACCAGCATGAATAATTACGAAACAAGAATTTTATGATATTGAGTTGAAAATATTATAAAAGTTCAATTTCTTAAAACGCAAGTTTTCCTTTAATGCATGGCTTCAATCTTTATCTTTGTAATAATGAGGAATCATATCTCGAAATATCAATTATGCAAAATCATCACTATTCGACGATGTAATCATAAGTATTTATCAAAATTAGCAACTTTATAATACTATATCATATCACAATGTCACCAAACAAAAAATTTTCAATAATGCTAAAGTTAGCGTTCTTTGATGTGTACTTTATTTGACATCATTTATGTTTTTTTTAAAAAAAAACTATAGGCTGGAAATGTTTTTTTTTTTTAACTGTCCAATAGTGTGCTACCACGTGGCACAATGTAAACAATGATGAAAATGATGATGTACATCAGTACATGTAGTGTGATTGAACTTTTTATTCTTACAAACTCACTAGGTAGATATGTAACCTTAAAACAAATCAAATTTTGACAAACTAATTTATTTCATGTACGAAATATAACATGACTCAAAGTTTGAATTTACGAACTCCTAATTCTTAAAATGATACATGGGTATAATTTTTTATTAACATATTTCACATGCTTCTATCTACACGAAAGAAGAGGACAAGGTGAGACATTTATAATATAATAGGATGGTCTGCGACGATGAAAAAGAAATAATTTTATAACGTGGAAAAGTAGATGATATTTTAAATAATTTTCTCAATCATAAAGATATTGATATATCTATTTAGAAACACACAAGCATATATAATTATACGGGAGTGGGGATTTTCTTGAAAGCTCTTAAAAGTACACTACAAATATGCCTAGAAAAGGAACCAAATCGAACTAAACCTAACTTCCAAGAACTCACAAATGACAAAGCTACAAGCAAGAAAATGTTAAAATTACACAAGGCAAGGGGATTGTGGGCCCAAGGAAAAAGGGACCAAACAAAGAGGGCTTGAAGCCCAAGAAAATATTTGGACTAACGAATCTCCAGAGTCCAGACTAAACCAGAATAAACCATATGGTGGCGAAGCACAATTAGAAAGCAGCCCAAACAAGATGGGCAGCTACAGAGCCTTTCTATTCGCGGGGGGCAAATTTGACAATTCCCTGTGATTAACGTCATATTTCGAGAAATAAGAAACATTTTGCAAAATAACAAAAATCAGGCAATGAATTGATAAAACCAATTAAGAATATTAAAAAAAATTCCCTATATTAAAGGATCATCCATAATTTGTGAAAATCTTCGTTGCAGCTAGGAGAAGAAATTGTGTCCCCGTCTGCGGCCTTCGATGGGAATAGGATATTTAGGAAAAAGAAATTGTGACTACAAAAAATAATGTAGAATTAAATATTTTCGATTGATATGTGTGACATGAGCTGATGATTGTACATATTAAAGCGAACCATAGTAAATCTTTCATAAAGTGGCTTTGATTCTTGATCTTTTGGAGAAAACAAATTATAAGAGATACGATCAAACTTCTCCGTAAGACAAGAAACTTGACGGATGACGAACCCATCAACCCTTCCCTTCCCTGCAGACAAGGGAATTAGGTTGCTTGGAAACAGAAGAGAAATAAATAAGAAAAAAGTAAAGTAAAGAGCTAGAGCTGGAGCCTAGAGATAATTAATACTGCCAATGAAACATCGGTGATGTATCAGTTTATGTGGAACAATGTGATTGAGCAATTTAATTTTTATGAGAGAAATGTGAATTATAATGAATTGTCACATCATCAATGTGATAATAAATAACATTGCTCTTAGCGTACGAGAGATTTAACCTTTTGACCAATTATTCTTAACTAATTTCTTGTACTTTTCAATTATTTTCGATAAATTAGTGGATGACCTCCAAATAAACTAGTAGGTTCTTGCCTCTTTTGACTACTTTAAATTGAGAAATGACACCTTCTTAGTAGGTCTGACTCCACTACACATGCAAATTCTTAATATAAATTACTAATAATAAATCCTTCAATATTCAAGCAATCTAATCTTTTAAATGAAATTGATTAATAAGGTATTGAAAAATAAAATATTTCTCGTATCTTTGACCTATCTGACCTTTAAATTAAGTGGTATAATCAAAGCTTTACTATCGGTTGGAACATTAACTAAAAAAAGAGTATGATATGAATTCTTTGACCACTGCAATAACTTCAACCTTTTCGGAATCGTTAATTAATCTTATTTTCTACAAGGACAATTGGAAAGTGAATCCAATTTTAATCATTATTGTTTTTCAGGTCGAATGGGTCGGAAAAATTTTGATTTTTTTTTTTTTTGAAAAAAAAAAAGACAATCTTATTTTATTTGTACAAAATAAGTTTGGACAAGAAGATTATTAGAAAGAAAGTGTATTTGAGTCAGATGGAAATAGTTGGGGCAGGCTTGAAAATTGACTCGTGTTGGAGTGCTTGTTTACCAAAAGTGGGATTTTGGCTGCGGAAACGTTAGTCTTGCTATTAAAAGAAGTGATAAGATTAGGCTACCAACCTAAACAGTCAGCCCTCCATTTTCCCAACTTCCAAAAAAAAAATCAACTAGTTTAATATTGACTAAATCATAGTGGAATGACTATTATGACCCTAGATTTTTAACTTGGCTCTCCAATTTGCCCTCTTACACAGCACTTACACTTTTATAAACAACCTAAGGGCATGTTATTTTGGTAGTCGGGACTCAACGTTGTCGAGATCCGATATACTAAGAATGTCACAACGTTTGCAAGTATAAATCTTACGAAAACATTTAGAAGGGTGCCTTCTAATTACGTATAACCCCAAAATATATGATAATATCTAAAACACGATCTACTCAGAAAACGATCACAAGAATATACTGCGAATTGTCGTGCAATAAAGCAAACAAGCCTAATATTGTAACATCTTAAACTTGACCCAAATTGGACATTTTTTTAGCTGACATTCTTCGACTAGACCTTTTGAAATAAGTATGAAATCATAATTTAGATTGTCGATAAAATCTTCTTCAAATGAACACATTAAAAGTGTCATTATGAATGTTATCAAATTATTGTTCAAATCCAAATGTTTGAATCAAAAAATCACCTCGGAAGTAAAGGCTAAAATTGTAATTGGCTTAGTTTGAAAAGGGCATACGAACCATGCAGGGTCTCTATATAAATAAACCAAATGGGGTAGCTAACTTTACATTGTTCCTTCATTCCCTTGTGAACAAACACAAACATTAGATGATGAGCCATTTTCGCGGGTGTAACACTCTCGTGAATATGATTTTCGTCACTTTCCTCTTCTTCCTCTGTCCCGGGACTCTATCGATGGCAGCCGATCAAGAAAAGTCGATTATCGAACTGCCTACTATAAATGAAGACTTGGTGAATTGGGCTGGCTATGGAGAAGAGCAACTGTCCAGGGTTGTAATCACAGGGGAACTTTTTTGCCATGGTGATAGAAATCATAAAGATTTAGTTCATCCTTTGCCAGTTTCTGGTTTGTATAGTTTTCTTCTATCCTTCAACTATTCTTAGCTCACGTAGCTTAAAATCTCGATAAAAATCTAAGTAAAAAGTTAAAAAAATTAATTTTAACCACACATTTCATGAAATTCATAGACTTCCAACCGTCAATTTATTAACTTTTATCAAAATATACTAAAACTCTAATTTTTAGTTCCACCAAACAAGGGCTTACTCTATTTTGTCGTGATTTTGCATGCTCTGAAAGAATCGTTTGATCACCATACTTCAGTTTATGTTGCAACTCATTTATGAAAGTTGTGAATACGTCAAACTTTTGATTGCGAATGAATCCAGTCTTCACGTGGTGTTGAAAACAATATTTAAATGGATATACGTTTTTGAAATGTTAATAAAAGTCTAAAATTTTAAGATTTTAAATATCGAACATATTTATTTTTTAGAATTTTTCTTTATCAAAAAGTCTCATCCCATGCATACCATTTTTTTATTTTTTCAATTAAAGGTCTAAAACAAGCACAATTATTTAAATGCACGGCAAGATCACTTAATCCTAGGATCAAACATGTTGAACTACTAATTCATCTCATAGTTCAAATATATGGATTTAAAACTCATTTTTTAGTTAATTAATTAGTAAACTGACAATAATATTTGGAATTTTCAATGTTTTGAATAGTAAATATTTGAAGAATGAGTGGTTAAAAATTAGGGAAAAAGTTCTGGATTTATCGCAGAATATTTTATTGTGTGAATATATGGTTAAAAATGAATACGTAGAAAAAAAAGTTTTGAAATAAAGGATGTGGCTTAATGGGTTTGAGTCATGAAGCGATTTCTTGACCAAAAAAATGGTTTGTAAGTATATTTCTGAAAGTGGAAAACCACCAATTCCATGTCCGATCCTTAATTATTGACTTCTAAGATTTCTTTTCTTAAAATTAAAAATCTGGAGTCAAAAAGATAATATTGGTCATAAACATAGATTTCTATTGTAGTATTAACAAAATTATATTTCAGTGCCCAAAATTCAGGCACATCATTGTCATGAACAGAGATTTAGGTTGCACAAAAATTATATTTCACGGTATTTAGGTTGCACAAAAATTTCTAATATCCTAGAATTTATCTCGGACACGTTCTAAAATTCAGAACTTACGATTTTGCTGCTGCCGAGATTGTGACTAAAATCTTTTCATTGTACGTCGTTCTTTAATACTGCATACTAAACGTGTTCTAAAATTTATTGCAAAATATGCAGGTGCATCGATTGCTGTTTTCTGTGGCACCAGCGGCCCTAAGACGAGGAAATCATATGCGATGGGCAAAACGGATGGCTACGGGGAATTTCACATCGATCTGCCATCCCATCTCCACTCCATTCCAAACTTGGAAAAGATCTGTCTCGTTAAAGTTCTTCATCTGCCGAAAACATGTTCTTGTAGACATGCTTTCACTGGAAAACACAAAGGGATAGAATTAACATCGATTGGCGAAGGCATTCGGACATACACAGCCCACAAAATACATTTGTTACAAAAACCTGCGAAAAGGCACATGAATAGAAGAGCCAAGACGAGGAATAATGTGTAATAAAATGGTGCATCGAGTTGCCCGTGGCTCGTGTGGATGGCGCTTTAGTCACAACATGAGTTGCATGTAATTTCCGCAACCCTGTTACTTGTGTGTGTGAGAGAAAACGAGATAGGGGAAGGACTGCATTATATGTTTATATAGATCACGTTTGATATGTAATGTTGAACGTGTTTGGAGTGAAGAGATCTCAAGTTTATTTTACTTGTACAATCTTACCTTATCACTTGATTTGTATGTAGAGTTTTGAAATCAACTATGCATGCAAATGATATATTCGGGATTGGAAAAAATCTGCACCCACATCGCCCTACCCCAAGTGAGGTGGGAACGGGAAACATAATGATCACCGCCACCGAACTCTCCTAACCCGACGAGAGTATATGTAAAAAGGTGTGAAGTAGACTGTATGTCTCGTTGGGCTCAGGCAACCCAACAAGCCTGCCATACAAATGCAGGTCACAGCCTCTCAGCCTACAGGCCCATCTTACTTCTTTCATGAAAGGGATAACTAAGAACTTGTTTGAACCTCATTTTTGTGTGTAGAGTGAATTTTAAAATAGAAGATTGACAAAAAATATGTGGTTAAAAAATAAGAAAAATTTTTGGTGTGTAATATTATTTTATTGAAAAATATATAATTGAAAAGACGAGACGAAAAAAAGTATTTTGGCAAAAAAAAAAAAGGTTCAAGGGCTTAATTACTAATATTCTATTTTGTCCAAAAATTATTAAAAAAATTATATCTTTTATAATTTTAATACCTTTTTTTAATTAAAAATCAACAGTCTACGTTTACCTCATTGTGTGTGTATCTCCTTTTAATTAAAATCAACCCTATTTGATGGCCATTATTTGAGAAAAATAATGTTTTGAATAATGATTTTTAGAAGAATATATTATTAAAAAGTAAAAAATTAAGAGCTTGTTTATGAGGGATTTTAATTCAATTAAAATTGAAAATATAACCGTTATTGGATGTCACTCGTCTAATAAAAGTCAACAATAACGACCAATTTTTCAATTTAAATCTCTATCAAACAAGCTCCAATTCCAAATGTCAATCTACATGTCATTTAATACTACCAACATACTACTTAATGAAAAAAGCTATTTGTACAAAAAGAATTTGACAAAAATGTTGACAAACACTCACATGATTGTCGGCCCCACATGAATAAAAAATTGAAAAATAAAAAGTGGGCCCCCCCACATGTGAGTGTTTGTCAACATTTTTGTACAAATTCTTTTGTACAAGTAGCAAGGTCCCTATTTAATTGCAGGAAGGAATTCAGTGAAACCCCAGTTGCATTTCAAATTTCCCCCCCTTTTACATGATGTTAGAAGGGGGGAATTTGTATATAGGGATTTTGTTTTGGTTGGGGAGGGGGGCGGGGGGGGGGGGGTTCATTTCTTTAATTAAATTCGAGAAATTGGTATGAATAGGGTAAAAAGGGGTAATGTATATGGAAGGGAAGATGATGTGAAGAACAGTCCAGCTGGGGTTGGGAGCGGTGGTTGTGCGCCAGATGTTCAAACCTCAGGTTAGTCTTTTTTCTTCTTCTTTTTTTTTTTTTGAATTTTTTTTTATGACTTTTCAATTTCTTATATGAATTTATGTGTGCATCAATTACTTTTTGATTAAGTGAAAATATTTGGAATTAAGTAGTTTTTGGCTGCCGATTGATTTATGCATGGAGGATTGTAGCATGCAATAACTTGCTAGACGGTCTGAAGAGGGCTATAGCTTTGATTCTGAATTCATGCTGGATCAAAAATATTGCTTTCTGCCAATGCTATTGGAAATAGTCTATATCACATTTTCTGAGATTTTTAGTCGAAATGGATGGGCTTGGCTTTTGTAGGGCTTTAATGCTAAAGTTCTCTTATAAATGGTAGATTATTTAGAGGGTCGAAAACCATAATTTAGAAGGGATATTAAGTGGTTATCCTTCTTAAGTGTAATTATTGGAACCAAACGTGAATATGGTGACAAAAAGTTGTATATTGGTTAATCGTTGCTTGCATTTAATATTGGCATAAAATTTGTAAAGGCCAGGTGGACTCAGAAACTTTGTCTTCGTATGCATTTTGCAGCGAGAGTTTCTTTCGAAACGGAACTTCTGACTTTTATATGTCACCAACTTGGCATTTATCGCACCGCTACCAAATGTATTACCTCACGCACGTCACTAGTTTGTAACGTTGTTCCTATAAAAGTATTTCAAGTCCGGGTGGTTACGTCTCTTTGCTTGCTTTAAGACAGTAGTGCGAGAGTAGTGAATTTTATTCTCTTTTTTACTTCAGATTCCGGTGGTTCCCTTACAAAGAGCTGCAGAGATGAACATTGCTGGCCCTTCATGGATGAACACTACCTCAATGTATGAAGATGAAATACATGACGAGCCTGGAATTTCAACAATTATCACATGGACTCATGGTGGCAGGGAAGTTTATGTAGTGGGATCATGGGATGATTGGAGAAAAAGGCAAGAGTTATTGTTTTATTGTAACCATTCAATTGTTTGCTTCGGATTTTAGCCCCACATTAGGAGGAAAATTTTCCACTGCAGTGGTTGGATCATGCTCCTCATTGACCTAACATTAGTTGCTATAGATCTCCCCATTGATCTAGCAACGAACATTACGGAATGGTGAAGAAGGATTTACATTGCCGAACTCGATTTATTGGGAGATTTTATATGCTGTAATCTTTTTTTCTCAGGAAGCACATGAGGAGAACAGGGAATGAGTTCATTGTTATGAAAAAAATTCCTGCAGGAGTTTATCAATACAGGTTCATTGTTGATAGACAGTGGAGGTATGCCCCTGACATCACGTGGGAGCTGGATGGATCAGGCAATGTTTGCAACATCTTAGATGTGAAGGTACATATGGTCTTCTCATCCGAATTTTGTCCTCATTGGTATTACTTATCTATGCACGAACTCGTCCATTACTTTCTTTAATTTCCGGTAGTTTCATTTACTTATGTCTTTTCCATACAAGTTCGAAAGTAATGAAAAGTAGTAACAATTGCTCTCTGTACCCCTAGAAGTTTTTATCTTTCCTTCTTTGGCCTTCATTCTATATACAAATTATTTAACAAGTTGATTGCAGCGTAAACTTCTTGCCTTTGATTGTGGGTTCAATCCTGATCTCTTTTGTAACATTCGAATTAAATGCTGTTGATTATCTTTCCAATTGGGCCAAGCCGCATTTCCTAGTCAATTTAGCAACCATCCACGTGTTCCTAAACCATTTACCCTTTTCACAATTTATCATCAATAGATTCTGATTTTAACCAAGTCAATATATGCTTATTTGTTGTTCATTTCTTCTTGTTTTGGTGTAGATCTGTCTTTACATTCATATCTACATGAATATTGTTTCTCAACTGCCCACATTTGATCCTAGCACTGCTCTTCAATGGAAAAATTGAAAGTTCCTTTTCTAGATCTTTTCAGAATTGGTAGATCAAACCAACGCCCCATATGCACTTTCCCACTTCTCCCTGCTATCTCTGTGATCCACTTACATTTTCTTCAAATTCTCCAACATATGAATAATTGAGCTTTTTGGAAGTTTATGCTTTGCTATGAAGGAAGAATATATAGCTACTGGAAAATGAAGCAAAATCAGTAGATACTTGAGAGTTCCATCCTTGTTGAAGTGATATTTATTGAAAAACTGGTGCTTATTGATATCTGCTGTAGGATTGTGTCCCAGACGTCACCAAGAGCATTGCCAGTTTTGAATCGCCTGAATCCCCAGATTCCAGCTACAACAACTCATACCTCGGCCCTGAGGACTGTGAGAAGGATCCGCCAATGGTTCCTCCACACCTGGATTATACTTTGCTCAACGCCCCATCGCCTCACATGGAGATTCCACCTCCTCTTTCAAAACCTCAACCCGGGGTGCTGGACCATCTATACATGCAGAAGAATGCGAGCATCCCGTCTGTGGTTGCACTCGGTTCAACTACTCGGTTCCGTTCCAAATATGTGACAGTTGTTCTTTACAAATTCACACAGACACATGGGTGAAAAATGGAAGTGGACTCTTGTATCATCTTTTAGAGTAATTGGTAACATAAAGACATAACAGTGTGTATGAGGCTAATTCCTTGTTTGGACATTGGAAAAGGCCATATGTTTACTTCTAATCTGTTTGATAGTTTTTGTGTTTTTCTTCTCTCTCCACATCTACCTCTAATCAAGATTTTCGCCCGCTGGTTGAGAAATAACTTTATACCTTTTATTTTCTTGATTTTTGGTCAAGGTTATTGCCTCCAGTTGAAAACAAGTGTTCTAATTTTGACTTTCTCGACCAATGTCGGAAAAAATAAAAAATAAAAGTATTTATCGACCGCTGGCCAATTCTCAACTGTGGCTGCGAGACTAGAGGTTGAAACTTGAGAGTCTTGAACTGGGATATTCAAGAAAGAGGTTGGGAAATTAAAAGTGATATGGTTCACTTTAAAAGCCTTTAGCATTTTCATTTTAGAATGATATTATTCGCAATTTCACATCCAATCCTGTCCTACCATTGATAAGGGCGCTTTACGCACTTATTTAGGCCACAAAACATGGACTATTGTCGATAGATATGTTGAAATATGGCTTAATTCGATATAATTTGCGTTTGTAGGACTACATTGATGGATGGAATGAAAAGTGTGCGAAAACGTACGAAAAAAGATCAAAATGGAAGAGAATGAAAGTTCAGGGACCAAAATGCAAATAACCAAAAGATGACCCGAGGACAACTCAAGAGAGGACACGAGTTTAATCATAAATTGAGGATGTCATGGGATGATTTGAGGAAAAGAATGAACAAAAGAGGTCAAGACAAGAGAAAACTGAAGATGGAGGACCAAAATGAAGATTTCGAAAATAAATTGCACCATGCAGCCGCATGGTGTAATTTCCTTGTGGCCGCAAGGAAGACTTCAGGGAAAAATTTTGGAAAATTATTTGTTCCATGTGGTTGCATGGAAAATAACCATGCTGCCGCATGGTAGGTTTTTCTGTGCGATTTTTCTGGTTTCCTTTTCTCATTAAAACACTTATGGAAAGGGATTTAGAGCACTTATTTAACCCTAAACTCGTCCAAAGAAAGGGGGCTACGCCACTTTAGAGAGAAAAACACCTTGGAGAGTTAGAAAGAAGGCAAGAACAAGGATTTACACTTCAAGGTTCAAGATTTAATTCAAAATTTTGGTGATATCTTCTTTTCATTATTTTTATTGCTCTTTTATTTTCTCCATGTTATGCTAGACTTTTTATGTATTAGGTGAACGATGAACCTCGCATTATGATCTTTTAATTTCTATTTTGCAATTTGACATTTAAACACGTTTGATGGCTATTGAATGATTTATATATATTTTTTGCCTCCATGATTATAGTGCACGATAATTGTGTGAGTTTAGGTGGTTTATTTTATGCATTCGAAAGAAGGAAAATAAACTCAACAAGATATAAATCATCGTTTTGTTCATAGAGGATAGAAATATACCGATATGCATTACGTGAATCTGTAAGTGTTTACAAAACTTCATGCATTCTTGGATATTGCATTTGTCATAGAAATATAGTCAAATTGTATGCTAGAATATGCTCAATTCTACTCGAAAGAGATTGTTGGATAGATTAGAAATATTGATTCTTCAACCAAATCGTCGTGTTGTCAAATTGTGAAATAGGGATTAAGAGTGAACTTTGCTTGACGATTCGAGATTCTAGTACGCTTTTTCATTCATTAATTTCTTCAACTTTTGCATTTAACCATTACTTTTGCATTTAGATCGAAATTTTAGTTTAATTTACATATTAGTTATAGTTTCATCATAAAGTCACAAAAATAATCATATTAAGTTTAATAGATTTGGTTAAGGTCGTAATAATAGAATTCAAGTTAAATCAATTCTCGTGGGAACGATACTCTAAATTTTACAATTTCCACTTTATTACTTGTCAACGAACCGTACACTTACGGTGATTTTATTCGAAACATATTTTCTTGAACAACCATCACACCCAGTCACCCCCTCCATGTCAGCAATCCCTATCCAAGTAGCATAATTGAGAAGAAAATGGGAAGGTGTCTGTGTGCATGTGATACTATAGTCATTTCAAAAATATTTTTCTTTGATGGGGGTAGCACTATATCGAACATGTCATTAGTTATCTGATTGAGTAAGAAAGTCGTCGAAATTATGTCTTGGGTTAACTAAACCCCTACACCCCCACCTCAATAAAAAAGTAAAAGAAATTACTCACCCGTCATGTGAGTTGTCGGTGGGGGCTCACACCCTATACATGCAGCGTTGTTGGATTTTAATACCGCAACATGTTACATAGTGAATGGACCGGAAAGAGGGTAGTTAAAGGTATGGGCAGGCCCATTATTAAGAGCGAAATTTAGGTTTATAGCACTAAAAAAAAAAAGAAAAAAAAAGCTTTTTCTACATTTTCTAGCAAAAATTTTTGAAGCCTAGATTCTATTAATGAAAAAGGCCAAACATACCACAACGCAATAACAAAACTTTTACATGTGCGTGTAACGTTGAATGTCATTATCAAATATTGGGACGAAACTATTCTTTTTGAATTAAACGAATCAAAATAAAATCATAAGGAAACGATTAGTTCGATTCGATTCTCATTAACATTTAGGGCTTGTTTGATAACACTAAAAATTCAATTAAAATTGAAATATAGTCGTTATTGGGTCCCACCCCTCTAATAAAAGTCAACAATAACGGCTAATTTTTCAATTTTAATTCGATTTTAATCTCTACCAAACACACTTTTAATTGATTTTTGTCTTAAAATAGAGAAAGAGGGTGGCGTTCTTGCTTTTATGTGCTCTCGAATTTGGTCGAGTAAAAAACTTGTGTTCCCTCAACTTTGAAAATTAATAAAAATATAAAGAAGTTCACACATAAACCTGATCAACATGAACCAATTTTCAATCAAAGGTTCAACACTGTTGATTTTAATCTTTTATATTTTTCTGGATAATATTCGGGTCGATTTTTGAATATTGGTAATACGCGTATTGAGAAAAGTAAATATTTTTATGAAATTCGTGGGAATTAAGGATTAAATTTTTTTCCCCCAAAAAATTATGTAGGGCATGCATGAATATTAATAATGGACGTAAACAGCATTAAAATAGAAATAAAACATTTATATATACTTCTTAGATTTATTTATTTTTTGCAGATTCCATAAATAAATAAAAAAACAAAAAATACACGACATTCTAAAATAAAATGACAAACCTTCTACATGTGCTGGTGATGAGGAAAGTCATCATCAGCCATTTCAAAAATATATTTAGCCGACTTCTAATAATTTTACTAAAGTCAAGTTTCAATCGAATGGGAAAAATACATTTTTTTAAAAAATAATTTAAAATGTGTAATATAGAAGCAATAAGTATACAAACGAGTTCAAATTATTCGCCTTTTCTAACACACAAAAAAGAATTAAATCTCGATAGAACGTATAGCTCTTAGAAATAATTTTAAAAAGATTGGCGAATAAATTATTGCTGCTAAAATTTTTGTTTGCGTTTATTAAAAAAAGGGAATATTACATATCAAACATAATCTTATTTCGTCCTCGGATTCGGAGGTTATCTATTTCTTTCATGTTCAATTTGCCACTTAAATGGGTTTTAGAAAACCATTTGCTTCATGGGTGAAAAAGGATCATTTGTTAGGTCCAATAATTATCTGTCGTGGAAAACTTTGTAATTGAAAACGAAAGCGGTGTCGTTTTACCGTTATTATTGATTTGACTATTTCCTTTGGCTGCACTTAATCATCATATTCTTTAAAGAAAATATGCCCTATCTATTATTATTTTATAAAGAAAATAGTTATATCAATCACTCAATCAATTAATTTGACTACACAAATTAAACCGATATATATATTATTACAACATGATTAAATTAGCCGATTAAATCAGACAAAAATCACAAATCAATTCGAAACCGTTAACTTAAGAACTGTCTCGTTCAACCTCAAAATCACTTGGCTCTCACGTAAAATTATTCTATTTCGGTTAACTCATTAGTTGAACTTCTAACCATTTTCTCTTTTTCGAGAGATTATCCTAAACGATTTTTGAAATATACGTAACACGTGGAAAAATAATTGAAATTAGCGTTCTAAAAGGCGTGCATATACGTCGTCTAGACACGATGTGCTGCGAAAACACCAAGCCAAGTGGCTTGGCACTTTATTTAGCGGTCAACGATTTCCGTTGACCGCTAATGTGTGCCTAGGCGAGATATTTTTTTTTTATATATATATATATTTTAAATTTTTTTACAATTCTTTTAAGTTAAAACTTAAATATTGATTTACATTTGAAATTTAACTTTTTGTTTGAAACTTTTGAAAAAATATATAAAGTTTCTATAAATATATTTTAGATGTTATATATGCATTATTTGTAATTATTAAATGATTTTTTGATTGATTAAAATTAAAATAAAAAAATATATTTTTACATTTTTTTTATGCACATGCCTCGCCTAATCAATAGCTTGACCTCATCGTATCGTCACGCATTACGCCTTTTAGAATACTGCTTGAGATTCACGCCTCGGAAGATCAAATTTGTTAATGAAGGGATAATTAAAGTCGTAGTGTATAAAGATTCACGCCTCGTTGGCCATGTGTGGTGCATAGCCCATAATTGTATGACCAAAGGGTTACCATGAAATCCAAATCCACTTGCTTGTGTATGAAAAAACTATCAAAACTTGGGAAGGTGAGTTGTGTCTATCAATGCCAACACATGCAAACGCAGAGTAAAGAGTCAGCAATGTACCCCTACCAACCCCTTACCCCACCCCTTAGACAGGACAATCTTGATGATTTTCATCAACATTATATGATTATACATTTTCCTCTCTCTCTCTAGAGTCTCTCAAGTTTGTTATAAAAATCAATTAACTTTGTTTTTCTTTGAAACTAGAAAGTTCTCTCACTCATTATCAATCATGGCTGAGAAGGTATCAATTTTGATCACAACCCAGTAATTTTCATTCATTTTTATTTGATTCTGCCTATGCTTTGACCTTCATTTTCATTTGATGTAATAGAAAACTGTAATGGTGCTGAAAGTTGATCTCCAATGTCCATGCTGCTACAAGAAGATCCAGAAAATTCTCTGCAAGACTCCTCGTAAGCCTTCTTTTTTGATAATTCTTTCAAGAAAAGCTGATTTTAAGCAATATGCAATAGTTTGGATTATGACTGAGTTTTTTTTATTTGGTGATGTGAAAATTTTGGGACAACAGAAATTAGCGACAGGTATTTTGATGAGAAGGCAAATACAGTGATGATCACTGTAGTATGCTGCAGCCCTGAGAAGATTCGTGACAAATTGATCTGCAAGGGTGGCAAGATTATCAAAAGCATCGAAATCAAAGAGCCTCCCAAGCCGAAGGACAATAAGCCAAAGGAGGATCCAAAACCGAAACCGGCGGAACAGAAGCCGAAGGAGGCCGAGAAACCAAAAGACGAAAAGCCGAAGGAGGCCGAGAAACCAAAACCAGAAGGAGCTGCCAAACCCAAATCAAACGGCAAGGGAAATGCACCACCACAAGCGGCGGCGGAGAAGCCCAAAGATAAGCCAGCACCAGCTCCAGCACCAGCTCCAGCTCCAGCACCAGCACCAGCACCAGCACCTGCACCTGCACCAGCACCTGCACCTGCACCTATCCCAGTAGGATTGCCGCCGGCTAATCCAGTCAATCCTTGTTGTGGGCCATGCTACCAAGGTTACGGCGGCGGACCATGCTACCAAGGCTATGGATTTCCGCCGCCGCCCCCACAGCCGTGCTACGACGGCAACTATGGACCTGGATATGTATATGGCAGGCCTTGCCATGTTTCAAGGTGCGATTACTTCAGTGAAGAGAACTCTACAGGGTGCACAATTATGTAATTTTTATGATCATTGGGATCTTCTGTTGAAGATTTTCAATGGATTTTGGGGTATATTTTAAAAATTATCAAAATGATAGTGATGCGTGTGGGGGTAAAGGAGTAATTTTATATTCCGTCGGTGGCCAGATGTTAATTAATAAATATTTTGTTATAATATAAGTTGTTATTAATAAAAAGTCTTCCTCTTCCACTACTCATTTGCATTTTCAATTTTTTTATTTTGTCAATTATTTCTTATTATCGATAAAGAGACGAGAGAGAGAAAGGGACCCAACAATGTTCACATGTTTGCTTAACCAAAGTAATGTTTACATTGTTTTTTTGTGAGTTTCAGCTTTGATTTTTTAGAACAAAAATTTTACATAACTATTTACATAATATTGAGATGCCAAAGTGTAAGTGAAAGTTATTTAATTGATAAGATTTTGATCCAATTAAATCTCTCCACATTATCTGTTGGTAAACCATTATATAAGTTGTAATATACATGTAACACATGCGGTTAAGAGTTAGTGTAAAATATTTATTTACTCTTTAAATTAAGTTATTTGTACAACTTGGTTAACGGATTGGTGATGTTGAAGTATTATTCTGGTTGGATTAAATATGTTAGATGTGAAGATGATGTGAGATTGTGTCATATATAAATTTGGTGAGTGGGAGTGTAAACTTGAATGCACATGTGATTACTCTTTTCATGCTTCACATCACTATACAACTTGTTATAAAGTGTGAGAAAATCGATGACAGCTCTGATATCATCTATTAGAAATTAAGTCAATTGTTATAACTATTAAAGACTAGATAATGAACAATATGAAAATAACAATCAAAAGAATACAAGATTTACATGAAAATTCAAGACGGGAAAAACCACGGATAGAGGCGAAAAATTTACTATATCAAAAGTAAAAAATTACAATATGTTAGATTCAATCTCACAAAACCCTCTATTGTATATTTCGATCTGCGAGTCTCTTTATTAATCTAGATCTACCGGATCACTCTTTGAATCGATCAAATAAATATGTGTAATAAACTACATATTTATAACACAAAAATCTCTAATATAATAAAAGAATTAATACAAAAATAAGGTGAAGTCTTATTACAATAGTTAAACTTAAAATCAATAATGTAGTATTTGCGTTGAAATATGAGAGAAAATTTGTCAAAATCGGGAAATCTTTTCCTTGTCGTCTTTTACCTTTTCAAGACTTTTGCAAATTTACTATCAATTCTCAATACTCATCAAGCAATATTTTCGGACAAATACTCAATAAGAATTTGGGTCACAATCAAACTCTAACATAAATATTTTTGGCCCTTTATAATATAATTCGCAATCATTGCTGAAAAAATCTGGTCATAATCGACGCGAAACAAATAGAACTTGCAATACCAAAATTAAGACTAGATGAGTTGGCATTGCAATTGTGTCTGGTTTGTTCTTTTGTTTCTTTCTTCCGGATTTATGCTTTTGTTTCTTTCTTCCGGATTTATGCCTTTTCAAGAAATTCAATTAGGAGTGTAATTTGTGATAGAGAAATTGTTGATAATTGAAAATATTAATAAGTTAGAAGGTCGTGATAATTTGATCATTCACAATCCGATCTTCTCGGTTCCCATTCAATTTTGGAAAATGATGGTTGTACACCATGCTATACAGCCCCCTCACAGCCCACCATGAATAAAAAATTTGTGGGCCCCCTCTATGTGAGGGAAGTGTACACCATACAGCACGGTGTAAATGTAGCATCATTCTTCATTTTTTGTTAGGTTTTATAATTGTGAATTCAAAAGAACAAAAGAGACATTAGAGAGAGAAAAAAAATCAAGTAACGTTAAAGTATGTTCTGAAAATTTGACAATAATACCAAATAGATTCTAACAAGATTTTTATATTTATTTTCGCTGGAAATATAACAATCAAACATACACTTTATTTAGAATTTTTCAGAAATATACTAGGGACGAAAAAACTTTATACTTTATAGAATGATATTCGTTTAATTCCTTAAAAAATGATCGTCTACAATTATTGAAGAAAATTCACTTTTTAGGAAAAAGGTTAGAATGGTCACGTAACTTCGTGCATGCCTAAAGTCTAACGACCTCCCCTTTTAGCTTAAAGAATAAAGATGGGTTTGCAATAGAGTAATTGACACAAAACGTCCCTAACTGTGACATGTATTGTGAAAATCGTCTCTACTTTTTATTTCTTGGCATTTATGCCCTTACTTTCAACGTTTCGTGCGCCGAAGGTCCTTTTCACTATGTTTTGACGATCTTACCCTCCTAATCAAATATAACAAAAGCAAAAGAAAAGAAAAATAAAGAACACATTGCAATTATGTGTCCAAACTTTTTAAAAGGTGCAAACGAGTCCAAATTTGAAAAAACCATCACCCCTAAGCCGCCACCTTTGAAGCCAAAAATCCCCGGCCAACCATCGCCCAAACCACCGGACCTCAATACCATCGGAAAGCACTCACTCCCCTCTACACATACCCATAAACACACCAATCAAACAACAAATTATATGGGCAAAATCAATAGAAATTATCCTCGGCCAAGTGGGAAGTTTTTTAGGTCAAATCCAAAATTGCTTCGTTTGAGTGGTGAATTACNGGTGGTTGGCTGGGGATTTTTGGCTTCAAAGGTGGCAGCTTAGGGGTGATGGTTTTTTCAAATTTGGACTCGTTTGCACCTTTTAAAAAGGTTGGACACATAATTGCAATGTGTTCTTTAATTTTCTTTTCTTTTGCTTTTGTTATACTAGATTAGGAGGGTAAAATCATCAAAACATGGTGAAAAGGATGTTCGGCGCACGAAACGTTGAAAGTAAGGGCATAAATATCAAGAAATGAAAGGTATGAACGATTTTCACAATACATGTCAAAGGTAGGGACGTTTTATGCCAATTACCCTTTGCATTATATAAAAAGGCATCTTTTAAAGAATTTTTAATTAGTGTTTTAATTAAAAAAAGGGAATTTTTAATTAGGTTTCGTATTGCAAACCTTCAAATGACAGCAGGCAATGCACTAGAGTGGTGAAATTGACAGTGTTTGGGGCTAACATTTGTCCAACTTTTGTGGCAAACTTTGGGGCGCTTCGAGTAACATAATTTCATTGTCGGCACAACATTATGGCATTGATGAGTGCAGTTTTTACACTTATTCGAAATTCTAAATCATGATATTTTATTATCTTTTGGATAAAATTCTATCTAATTTATGTTATATTGTATTGTGCAAGTAAAATTTTATGTTTAATGAAAAATTGGAAAAAAGATAGCAAATAATGGTAAAATTCAAAAATGAAACTTTGGAGAAAAATAGTATATTAAATCTAATATACTATCTCAATGAACTTGTATTGGAAAATCTAATTGGACCGTGGCTGAAATATATATATATATATATATACACGCAGAAACCCAAAAAAAGGGCGAAATGCACGGAAAAAAGAGAAAGATAAGACGGCTGGGAATAGATAAAAAGAAGGGGGAAAAAAGAGAGGTGAGGCAGAGAGATTGGAGTGCTCGTTTTCAAGTCAAAAATTATGGCTGCAAGGAGAGGAAACGCACAGAAAAAAGTGAAGAAAAGGAAGGGCAGAAAGAAAGAAAGAAAGAAAGAGAGAGAAGGAAACCAAAAAAGGAGAGGAAGAATTAGGGTAGTTGCTTTTATAATTAGGGTTATACTACATGTACATAATTTCTTTATGAACCGTGTTGCTATGTCAAGTCGATAAAAGATCTAGCAGAGCAAAAGTGTCTTGGGGGGTGGGTTAATGAGGTGGGACCCGCGCCAAATGTGAGAGGGGGGACACCATTCGGTATATTTGGCTTTTCTCTTATAATTATACGTGGAATATGCGCGCGCAGCTTGAAGGATGGAGCAATTGGGCGGCTGGACGAATTAAAAAGGCAGATTGGTGGCTGCTGTTGAAACACACACACGGAGGCTGCCGGCATAAATATATATACACGCAAAGAGAAGAAAGGAGACGGCGGACACAAGCAGTTTCACTTTTGCGTGTTTTTATTTTTACAGTATGAGTAACTAATTTTCATATTAGAGCAAACAATGTAATCGACTTGTGATCATTTATTCAAGATTTCTGTTATTTATTTTTACATATATTGGTTTTACTAGGGCTGCACAAAAAAATCGCGAAATCGCAAACTGAACCGAAACCGTTTGTTCGGGTCCATATGGACCCGCGATTTTTTTTCCTTCAAACCAAACCAAACAGTTTCAAAATGGTTTGGTTTAGGTTTCTATTTTCAAAAATCGCATAAAATCGAACCGTTTTTCAATTTTTTTAATTTAAAAAATAATTTTATTAACTTACAAATTTTAAAATTTTTAATTCTTAGAAAAAATACCAATTTAACAAAACAAATTACAACCAACCCATTAAAATAATCATATAAAGTAAATTAAGTTCATCATTATTGACCAATAGTTTTAAGTCCACAACACACTTCGTAACCCGATATCTAGAGGTATTGGGTGGGGGATTAAAATTAGATTTTTAGTAGATTGTGATATAATTTTTTAAAATGTGAGTTGAAAAATCGTGGGACTCATGAAAGATGTGGTTAATATTGATTGTTTGACTTGACTTAGATTAAAATATGATTTTAATCTGTACAAAACAGGGCCCTAATCTAAACTAAAATTAATCACAAATCATATGAAAAAGAACATTTATTTTTAATAATCTAAATCATAATACAACAAAACTACAACAACAAATCATGCACACAATTTTAGAAGCTACCTAAACTCTCATTTCTCAAACATTTGACGCTTGCAAGCCACTACTAAACAAAATGCAATTCTCAATCGCAAATCATTAGTCGTCTTTTGCTTGTTAGTCTGCTAATTTCTACATGAATCACAATTTCTCTCCTCTCTTGATAAGTCTTATATTCTCATTCAAGTCATTTTTTTCATTATTCTTTCTTTTATTTATTTTTTTTAAACTTATTATACACTTGTGAGTTGTGATTTGAATTTAGAAAATAACTATTTGTGTGCCTATGTGATTAATGAACTTGTTTGTCGTTTAGAAAGAATGAAAGATAGAGCGTATTTATTGTGTGAAAATTTTAAAATTCTCTAACTAGTACTACTACATTCTACTTTTGTAAAGTCGTTAGAGAATAAAATTTGTCAATTTTCAATAAATCTAAACTCTATCACTCTTTGTACATTTAAACATATCATGTTCAATCCTTGTTTTTCTTCTCAGTAGTAGGACGAAAGGAGTTTTAACCAAACTATTATAGCAGAATGCGACTCTATTTTTACCAACCACTATATGACAATGTGAAAGACAAATAAGAAAAAGTAAATAAAAAGGAAGAAATATAAATTCGTTCTATTAACATCTTTTAGCAACCAATTTTGAAATTAATTTATTCACGAGTTTCGTGGGAAAGATAAATGTAATTTAATATTCAATATTATTAATTCTCGTTTAAACTTATATGTTAACTTATTTTAAAATATATTATTATAATGTCGATAGGTAAATAGCGGATTAAACTTGAACCAACCTGCAAATTATGGTTTGGTTTGAAAAAATTTCAAACCGCATGAAATGGTTTGACTTGAAAATATGGCACAAACCGTCCAAACCGAACCGCGTTCACCCCTAGGTTTTACTATGAGCTTAATACATCAAATTAATTGAACTAATTTGATGGTTATGTGAGTCTATTACGAATCGAGAGGTGGGTTTGAGATTTAGACCATATAGTAAAATTCAGTAAATTAGTATAACGTGTTGAGATATCTATCTATACTAATTATTGCGGTCATAATATAAATTTTTAGAACTTATATTTCGTTTAACTAAGGTTGATTTACATAGAAGTATGTAATTGAATTAGTTAAATATGTTTAATGAGAACTCGAGATGGATAAATTGAATACAATAGAAGAATTCGATCGAACACTACATTAGGTTATGAATCTTGAATTAAGAATTAAGATTATCAATAAATGAAATTGTTATGTCCTAATATTTATCCCATATTTGAATCTTCAATCAACCGTTGTTTGCATTCTTTTTATATTTTCAATTAGTTAAAAGTAGTTAGGAAAAATAATTTCAATCATCATAATTATTTACTTGTTTTTATCAATTAGGAGTTAGAAAAATTAAAATAAATCCTAAAGTATAATCCTCGTAGGAACGATATCCAGACTCAAAGGTCCGCTATACTGCTTATTACGATATCGTACACTTGCGATATAAAAAACGCAACAACTTTTTGGCGCACATTATGGCATCAATTGGAAATATATCTGAATTGGATGGCATTTTAATTTCTAGTCCAATACTATATATTCCGACATACGTTTAAGAGGGTTCATTTCTTTCCGTAGTGATATCAAATGTATGCATAGAACTAAACAGAACTCTACAATTCATTAACGTTACGAGGTAGAAATTTAGGGGTATAACATAAGACCCATACCAACTCTAAGAATTCGATGAGCCGGGGTTAACTAAATCAGCTTTCGTAAGAGTTCCTGATTGATCAACGTCAAGAAATTTAAATCCCTCCATCACCATATCGATATCTTCCTTGCTTATCTTCCCCAGCTCTTTGAGTTTAAACACAACAAACTCTGCAGCACTGCATCGACAGATTTCAATACACTCGAGTTTAATGCAAAATATATGTATAATCTATACGTTTTAAGCAATGGCATGTGAAATAAGTTACCTAACAACTTTATCATTATCAAGATCTGCTGCCTCAAGATCTGAGATTGTTAACTTCCTTGTAAGTACCCATTTAACCAGTGATTTTCTTCTCCTCTCAGTATATAATTCCGCGAGACAGTAAAAGAACTGAGCCAAACAAATGGTGCTTATAAGTATCCAAAAAGAAGCAAATATACGCCCCGTGTAAGTTGAGAAGCTCTTATCCCCATACCCTAGTGTCGTGATAGTAGCACAAACACAATAGAAGGCATCGAAAAGATTCAATCCCTCTATTCGGTATAAGAATAATGATCCAATAACTATGAGGATTATAAGAAAAATGAGGGCCGTGAGAAATTTGTACTCGACTTTGTTGGTTTCGACTTCCTTGAGAATGTCGTTAGCGCTATATTTTTCGCGCATGTGAATGGTCTTAACCAAAAGAATTTCCTGCTTTTCGACTATGTAATCTGCTGCTTTGCTTAGGAGAAATCCAACAAGTGCCATTCCAATAAACACAAAGATGCAAGCAAGGAGTTTTGACAAGATGCTATCAGGAACCAGGTCCCCATATCCAACGGTTGTCATTGTAACGACACAGAAATAAACGGCATCAAGAATTACATTCGTCTTCTGCCCCTTGATCTGATCTCGAACAAGGAAGAAACAGAAGGCTCCTACACCTAAATATGCGCTCAATAACGCGACTACTTGCTTGAAATGGATCTTATTTCCAAAAATCGACTCTGGGTGTTGAAGTGATTCAACACTTGTTTGCCCTGCACAGATATCCTCGGTCGGGGTACTCTTAGAACGACGATACTTTCTTCTCTTCAAAGAAGAGTTTCCATTAGATTGGCGTGAAGAATCCACAGTTTCTGCTAGCAGTGGATCTTCAACATCACGATCGGCCATTTTAGCTTGTTTGGTGGGATAAATTGTACAGTTCAGGACGATGAAAAGGACGTTAAAATTTTGTCTAATAAATATGCACGCATGCTAAAATTATCAACTCGTGCCATACTCAATTATGACTAAATTATGCGTGAATACCATAATTGAAGACAACAATCAGTTTATGTTTGAGCCTTGAGAAAGTAATCAAGGGACAGTTCTAATGGCATTGAGAAATAAGAGAATCAAAACTATTGGAAACAAAAAAGTGTATCAAGATTTCTCGAACCGAAAAATCCATGAATTGGGATATCCTAATAGATCACGACCCGACTATCCTGAACAGAATGTCTTGAAATAAATGCAGCAAAACATGAACAGAAAATTAAATCGAAATTGAGAACAAAAGGCTATTGAAGGGACATGGAGAGATCTTTCGTACCTTAAGAGAGAAATCCTGAAACATAGGATCATGAATTACAACTCCAAAAATATTAAGGAAAAAAATGTCTGAATCCAAGAACCAAAAATAGTAAATGCTATGAAGAGGTACAAGTTACTTCTAACAGTGAATTTGAGCCAGTTGTAAAATAAAAATGCCTCTCAAATCCCAATGCTAAGGGAAAGAAATATTAAAATTGATATTCTAACACGTTGTTTCTTGGGATTTCCTCCAAAATACATTATTACCACCCATAGTCAATTAATTTGCAAAACAGATTCTTGGTTCAAAGAAAAAAGATCTAATACCTAAAATACATTTAACCCCTGTTTCTGTTTCTGTTTGTGTTTGGTGGTGATTAAAATCTATATTTTAATTTAAATTTTAATCGCATATTTTATGGGGTTATTGTATTTACACTTTATCTACCGCAATTCTAAAATTTAAATTTTACATACTATTTCATGATTTTTATTTAATGTTTTTTTCTTCAATAAGATGATTTTCTTTATTTCTTATCTTCATTTTGCTTGAACTATCCTAGTGAAAATATCATGACGTTAAAATAGTCTACGTACTGATGAATAAATTATTTAAATGGTAGTGAATACTATTATCGAGGATAATCACGATTTAGATGATAACTGTATTTTTCAAACTGGTTCTCTAAAATAAACACTTCAAATGTCAAAATCTTAAATAATTACTTTTCACAAAATAAATAAAATACGGATATATACATTACAAAAAAGTTAGAAATTATTATACTTTAAATACATATTTACATAAAATAATGAATTGAAAAAATAGAAATCGTCAAATATAAATTTAAATAGTACTATTAGAGTTGTAGAAAAAGTCACATTCTATATTTAATAATTTTCTTTGAAATGTTTTTTATATTAAAAATCATGCTCTTTATTTGTTGGAGATGCTCTTTATAGGTAACTTTCTTTGTGCTTGTAATTTTTTAAATTGTGGTATTCTGTTTAATGTTTTCTTTTTAATTTATCAATAAACGTAATATTTTAGTTCGTTAAATATAATTTTTTAATTTAACGATTTTATTAATAATATAAATTTTAATTAAATAATTTAAAATAAATTTTGGTATAAAAGTATTTCCAATTATTACATCAAATTTGATGTAATTTTTACACCAAATTTAGTGTAGAAGTGCATCAAATATGATGTAAATGATTGAAGATGGTTTAAGTTCAATAGACTCTCCCTTTGAAAATAGCATCATATATATAAAAGAGAGCTTCTTTGAATTTTAGAGAGTAAAATTGTATGTACATTTCAACAATATTTTTTTTATTTTGACTCTTTATTTTACTTTTTTCAATAAATTTTCCCTCATCTTTTATTTATTTATTTTTATTTTTTGAAATGTGAATGATCAATCAATTCAAATAAGATTTGAATAGTGTGAAAAATCGAGTATTGAAATTTGTAATTTATTAAATGCAAACAAAAAATAAAATAAAATAGAGTGCGACAGAATTTATTTTTATGCATAGGCTGATATCTACTAAAGAGTATCTTATATTTAGAAAATCTGTTGAAAATTTGGCGAACCTAAAAGGGGATTGTGGTAAGCTCCAACCCAGTTCAGTCCCACACATTCAAATTTTGAGAAAATTGGGCCCATACGCCCAAAACTTTTAGTTTCGTTTATTGTGTATAATGTGCATGCATATTAAATTTTTGTTATAGTGTTTCATAACCAAGAATGTCATACATTCGTGTGTTTTTGCTTTCGAACTTTGTGCTCTACACATGCCTATTTTTTTTAACTGGTACTTGTGTGGATGTAGATTTATTATATACGATTTTATGTCGTAAGGTACAACTTTAGATAATGTTATATTTGAATTATATTCGTACGTCAACTTTTAAATTTTTTTTGCTAAGTATAATTATATATGAGGGTATCAATACGAGGAGCATAAATGCCAACTACCTTTCAGTGAGTATTAATTGAGTGGCACCGGGAATGTTTTCAAGTGTCAAATTGAATTGCATGCCTTCAGACTTCACAATACAGAGAAGATAGGCTCGTCCAAATCCTTCTACTCGTTTTTATGATGGTTTGACCTAATCCTAATCTAACTTTTTCAGAACTTCCACTTTTACATTCAATACAACTTTCAGCTTTTTCAATAATATCGCTTAACACATTTCTTTACACTCTTTCCCATGATAATATTTACGCTTGTTATTTTCAACCCATCTGTCACATTACTGCACACATTTCCTCCACATAGAGGAGGATGTCATCCTTGTTGTCAACAAAAATGTATTTACACTCTTTTGCATGGCAAGATCTACACTCTTACTTTCAACACATTCATCACATCACTGCATGGATTTCCTCCACATAGAGAAGGATGTCATCTTTGTTGTCAACAAGAGTGTACATCTAGTTTAATTCTAATATAATTTTATCACATCACTGCATGGATTTCCTCCACATAGAGAAGGATGTCACCTTTGTTGTCAACAAGAGTGTACATGTAGTTTAATTCTAATATAATTTGCTTATCTCTTAAGTTTCACCAATCACACGCTATTCTCGGTTGAAAATTTGGTTTAATTACATATTTCATGTGGCTCACAATTTTTCTATCTCATATTCCATTAATTTTTATTAAAATATATTAAAAGTTATTTGTACTTTAGAAATGCATTTTTCAAAAGAAAAAGCACATGAAGAAATAGAAAATGAAAAATCTTAACAAAAAAAGTTCATCAACTAGAAAATAAAAATAATACACTAACATATTTTCTACAGTGCATCTATTCATCCGAGAAGTTCATGATGTCTATAAATTTTAGAGCAAATTATATATAAACTTTCCTTGAGGTTGATGAACTAGTCGACCTCACAACCGTTGAGTTACGATGTAATTTTGTGGGTGATGAATAAATTCATGAAACAATTATTTTAAAGAGTCAACCCTTAAAATTATGTTAAAAAACGCTCTTAAAATTAACATTCTCTATATTAAATGCATTCAAAGTATTTCAATTTATAATGAAGGAAAATAAGATATTGACATTAAGGAAGCTAATGAAAAAAAAAGATACTTTATCCGTCCCATAAAGATATTCATGTCTTCTTTTTTCATCTATCTCAAATTATAGTCATGTTTCAAATTATATATATATATCTTCTGTGACATTTATTCATTTGTATTTGTATCACAAATATAAATCATTCCATTATTCAATTGTAGTTGAAACAATAAATTAAAAACCAAAAAACCATTTCATCTTCCATGACATTTATTCATTTGTATTTGTATTGGATGACTTTGGAATGTTAATTACCTTGATTCTTGTATTAAACAACGACTAATACAAAGAATAATTTAATTACCTCGGATATTGCATGCATAATTTTAAATAGGGGTTTATTAGGAAAATGATAGTAATATTTATTATTTCAATTATATTAACTAAAAATTTTTAATCTGCGTGAAAAAAGAAATTTGACTATTTTTATTGGACGAATGGAGTGGGAAAAAATAATAAATATTTTTTGGGAATAATAAAATTAAGTGTTAAATATAAAAAGTCCATTGGAATATATAAAAAAATTATACTTTCTAAATTATCGAATATACTCTTAGAAAAATTGAGAGTCTATTTGAGATGGTTGGTTAAAGAGTAAATACAAAGGCATTAGATTTCTCGAGCCTTTTGACATGGCGGCTATTGAGTAACTCGAGTTAAAATTACTGATTCTCCATTATTACAGCAGCAGCTGGTGCATTCCAGGTGTATTAACGAGGTAAGAAGAAGGATGAACGAAAAATTGAATCAAAATTACTCCTTATTATGATAGTGATTCTCAGGGGTTTTTTGGAGATGCTATTGATTACACTTATCTTGGCCATCAAAAATAGATTTTGGGAGTAATTTTATGAGATAGATACTTAACTTCTGTGTGTTTTTTAATATTTTAGGTGAAAATTCGGTATATGAGAACTGATGAAAGTGAAGAATAATGGAGCAAGAACAATCAAAATTGAACATATTTTGGAAGTTGTGGCCAATGAGTCATGTTTGAAAGTTAAAGAACCTCAATTGTAATATTTAAGGACTCAATCTGAACAAAAAAGGGGGAGGCTAGAGAGATTCATTCTTGAGGCTAAATTACATATCAAATACATTTAATCCTCAAGATTTGTATCTTAATTTGATATTTGAAGGTTTAAGAACATAATTGTGGAGATATATACAAGATTTGAAGTGGAGTTTGATGATCCATAATTAGGAATTGTGTGCCAACAAATAACAATTGCTAGAATCCTTTTTTCATTTCTTGTATAGAACTCAATGATGTTACATCTTTTTGTTATTTAATTTCAATTATATGATTAATTAAATAAAATTGGTTGTTAAGATAAACGTTGTAGCTTGTGTTTAATATTTGTTTGATTCTATTGATTTCATGCCAACTCTTTGAAAGTTAATACCCTAAATAGTCACCGAACTTTGCTAAAAGTTCTCAAAAGGTCACCGAACTTTAAAACTTCCCTAATTAGTCGCTGAACTTTGCAAAAAGTTCCTAAAAGGTCACTGAACTTCAAAACTACTCTAAATAGTCACTGAACTTTGCTAAAACTTTCTAGGAGGTCACCAAACTTTACAAATTGTGACCCCATACATCAATGATTTAGTGGCTCCCTAGGAATTTTTTGCAAAGTTGAGCGACTAATTAGGGTAGTTTTGGAAAAGTTCAGTGTTTCAAAACTACTCTAAATAGTCACTAAACTTTGCTAAAACTTTCTAGAAGGTCACCAAACTTTACAAATTGTGACCCCCTACATCAATGATTTAGTGGCTCCCTGGGAATTTTTTGCAAAGTTGAGCGACTAATTAGGGTAGTTTTGAAAAAGTTCGGTGACTATTTAGAGTAGTTTCGAAATTCAGTGGCCTTATAGGAATCTTTTGCGAAGTTCAGTAACTAATTAGGGAAATTTTAAAATTCGGTGACCTCTTGGGAACTTTTAGCAAAGTTTAGTGACTATTTAGAATATTAACCCTAACTTTGATTATGCGTTGATTACTTATTGTGTTTTAATTGCATTTAATCGCTTGATCACCAATTGTTTGATTTAAGTACGATATTCTGAGAGGAGATATATTTGTCTAATTCATGCAATAAGTAACATATGTTATATGAGATTGAGAGATGATTATATGCTATACAATCATTATGACATATCTAAAATTAAATATTTTTACATGCATGTGTGTTAATTTACATAGAGATATAGTAAATCTAACCATATGAATAGGGCTAGTTTTGCTCTTGAAAGATTCCTAGCCAAAATTAATTAATTCGATTGTTAATATATATATATGAAAAAAGGTTCAATGATATTGGATTGAATAAAAGTTAAACAATGAAATCAAAACTCCTAACCATTTAATCACAATACTTCTCCACAACTTAGATTAATTAGATTAGTTTAAATTAGTACGAATTAATTAAGAAATAAACTATTGATTTGATAATTTTTACCACAATTTTATAGATTGAAGCTGGATTAGATTAAAAATTAAGAGCAAATATTTAGTCTATTATAATTCGAACTTGAAAAGTCAACTTTATTACTTGCACAATTCGTATACTTGCGAAATCAATCGATGAGCTCTTAAGATGAATAATCTAACAAAAAAAGAAAGAAGAATAATTCTGGGGACCAGAATATGTTAAAATAGGTTGGGACCAACAGTGCATTTCTGCAATAAATAAATAAAATAATGTCACTCTTTTAATTTTGGATTCGAGTTCCTTTGTGCTATAAATTGCTTGAACCTCCAAGCCAGATTCACATACAATCTTCAGTAGATTTCTTTACACGTATATTCCGCATGTAAGTCACTGACACAATTTCCAGGCACTTTAAACACCTCCAAAATCAACTGTCTCTTCGTTTTCTTGACATATGAACAAATGCATTTTAAGCTAAACAAACTTTGCAAATGTATCTCTGTACAAATGCTTTCTAACAGTGATTCTCGTTTCATTTTTTATCTGCAGGTTGGTTTGAATTATTAAGAAATGAAAAGTATGATTTGTGAGCTTAACCTTTGCAAGGTTCACTTGGTCCAGGGTCTTGCTTCCATGATTATAATCGTGTTCTTCGGTATATCTCTCTTTCTCTTTATGTGAAGAATATACTCCACGAATTGGCATGTTTAATCCAAAAAATTACTTAATTGCGAAGAAAAAGTAGAAAAAAAGAACTTCTCAGAAACTTTCTTTTTATCTTCTACCTTTTTGAAATGTATTTTTCGTCAGTTAATTGCAGAGATTTATCTATCTAGAAGCTTAAATCTTGTCTTCAAGGTTCCTTCCCTCTCACGTGAAGACAGTTTTTTGAGCTCATACACAATTTTAATAAGTAGGTGATGCTAAATTTGAACTTGGGTCCTTTGCTTGGCCATAATAATGTATTTTCTTCAGAGACTGAAATTTAAAGGAGGACTAAGAGAAGATTGAAATAGCTGAATGCATGTTGGGAAATCTTGTTTGTGATTAACTAGTTTTTAAATTTTCTTTTTTTTTTTTTGGGTAATTTTTGGCTCAATTTACAATAACAGATTGTTATTCATTTGATGCAGTTTACAGCACTTATGGTACATTGGGGCCAGTGAACGAGAGTGGCATTCAAGATTCATCATTTTCCAAGGGAAACTATACGGTCAAATCTAGGAAACTATTGGACTTATCTGGTAAAATTTAATTAAATTTTCTTTTTGATACTGAGAATAAAACATTAAATTTATATGTTCTACACTAGACGAGGATAATGGAGATGACGATGATGGCTATATGAACCGCTTTGGGTCGGTATGTTCGAAGGACAACATACTCGTATTCCAGGGTCAAACAACACCATTACCTAATGGAATTCCGACGTACACAGTCGATATCCAGAATGCTTGTACCTCAGGAAGCTGTAGCATTTCCAACATTCATCTCAGTTGTGGATGGTTCAGCTCGGCGAGGTTGGTTAATCCGAACGTGTTTCGACGGATTGGCTACGACGATTGCCTTGTGAATGATGGAAAGCCGATGAATCCTGGAGATTGTATTTCGTTTCAGTATGCTAATACTTTTAAGTATCCACTTTCAGTATCATCTGTGGCTTGCACGTAAAATATTTAGCGAGGGTTTGCATGGTTTTTAGGAGTTCTGATGGAATTTTGTATGGATGATTTCCCTAATTATGTGCTTGTTGATGATGTGTAAATCTATGTTTATGTTGTTATGAAACTTTAGGTTTTCGACAACTTGTTTTTTCATGATCAACTTCACTAGCTACGTTCCTATGCACGAAAAAATTCCTATGTCGTCGTTTTTGGAATGAATTATGATTTGTGTGACCAACACTTCGGGAAATTAGGAGTAAAATGTTTGAACAATCACTAAACTTAAACATGGTCATGACAATGAGTGATTTGAAGTTTTACGCACTCAATGGTCACTAAACTTTCGGTTGTTGCACCACATCCAACACTTAGCAAATTCTGTTACATTATTCGCTGATGTGGCTAACGGAAATATGATGTGACAAGTTAGGCCATTAAAATAAATGACAGCTCAGCGAAACCATTGTTTCATTACTCATCCAACTTACAGTTGGTCATAATTCACTAATCGAACTTCAAAATGCTTCCCAATGATCACTCATATTTGAAATGTTGTACTACATTCATCATCCGCTATATTTTGTTCCCTTTATTTCTAAGGTTCGCACAAAAATTCTATCGGTAAGTTACAAATGTTAAAAAAATTACAACTCAACAAAACTTAACTCACCAAAATCACCATATATGAAACGTAACTTCCACGGTCCCATCAACTTCTTTAAAACTCAATAAAGCGTCCCCAATGATTATTTTAGAAATATCATTTTTCTAATTCAAACGTTTACTCAGAGGTGTCAAGACGGACGGGCCGACCAGACTCGTGAAAATCGGCCCATGAAAATCGGGACCGCTGGCCGACCCGTGACTCGTGCGGGCGATTCACGGGCCAAAGAGGTGTAACCCGCGGGCTTCACGGGTTTCACCCCCATGGGCTGCGGTTAACTCGTGACCAGTAAAAAAAAAATTAAAATTAAAAAAAAATAAAATAAATTTAATATGGTAACAATGAAAATACATCTTCTTCTCCAATCTCTAGTACAACTTCTAAAGACAAATCTTCTTTTTTTCTCCATAATAGCTAAGAACGTAATGTTCTTGATTCTTCATCTCCTACTGCAACTTCAACTGCAAATCCACATACCATACCTGTTGAATTAGAAAGATATTATCAATTTGATCATTATAATTTAATACCTGAAAATGAAGTGGATAAGTTAGATATTTTACGATGGTGAAAATTAAATGAACAGTCATACGCTGTATTATCTAAAATGGCACGAGATATACTAACAGTTCCAGTCTAAACAGTAGCATCCGAGTCTGCTTTTAGTGCATGTAACAGGGTATTGGACGAACGAAGATCTAGACTTAAAGAAGATATTTTGGAAGCTCTCATATGGGTGAAAGATTTGATATTCGCGGATCGGAGGATGCAAGATAAAATTAATGATGATGTTACTGAAAATTTCAAAAATCTTACA